ACCTGGCACATGACTGGGGTGGGATGACACCGAAGTGCAATCCTTGAACTAGTCACCACAATGGTTTCCTGCCTCCTACTCATCTGCTCCCTGAATCCTGCCTTTCCAGGCTTAAAGATCACTGGACTCAGAACTCTAGACTCTACTCTGCCACTCAAATCTTCATTTCGAGTGAGTTCTTGGCCCTCAAAGTTCACATACTCAAAATAATTTTTTTAAAAAAGCAAACACTCTCTTGTTTTCTTTATTTCTACTTGGTAGGATATATCAAGTAGTGGTTACCCATCTGCTGTGTGACATCCAGCCAGACATCCTAGTTCAAATTCTACTTCAACCATTTGCTACCTGGAAGGCTTTGGGCAAATTATTTAATCTCTCTGTGCCCCAGTTTCCTCATTTAAGTATGGATTATAATAATAACCCACCACTCAAAAGGATTGAGAGGATGAAGTGGGCTAATATATATAAAGGTGTCCAACCAATACTGGCACCCAGTAAGCACAGTAGTTATTAGTATTAGTACTGCTCCAGTTCAGAGATTTCATGGTTTCAGCCTCATTCTGTATATTGAAACAACTGCCAACAATTTTGGGGCATAATGACAATTCTAAATGAGGAATTTCTCTTCTTCCTTTGTCAATTCAGGTTATATTTTTACTGAAGGAATTTTTGTACTGACATTTTACATTGGATTCCACTCTAAGCAACATGCATTTAACTGTAATTCCTGTGATGTTTACAGCCTGGTGCCAAAAGCTGGGGATTAAACATGTCAATACTCACACCAAAATATGTCTGAAAATGATTTTCTATTTCATCTGTTCACAAAAGCCAACTAGACTAGATGTGAAATTCTTTAATCAAATATTTTCTCCTCAAACCTATTCTCTAGGTTTCACTGTCTTGAGAAATTTAGTGCAAAACAAGTAAATGTTTGAGGCCCATCTGAATTTTTTTCTCTTTTATATTTTTTCTGACCAGTTGCTGATATGATTGCTCTCTCAACATATCATATGTAAAGTATTTTTCACATGTCTATTTCCACTTTTTAAAAATCAATCAATATAATCAGCTGACTATTCAAGAATATTTTCTTCTATTATGACTTTGATTATGAATCTTTCATACCAATTAATCTGCTTTTTTTCCTCAGAAGCACCATAATTACTGGGTTTACTTTCTGTTCTCTGTATTTACCAACTTCCCTCTTATTATTTCCTATATATTCTAAGAGAGACATTCAAGACCACACTATCAACCACTAATTAAATTTTCCAGTGTGTTCTTTTACATTTCCAATTCTGTAGATGCCCTGCCTTAAATCCTATTAATCATGCCAAAAAGTTTTCTAAAATTTTCTCCCAGTTCTTGCCATAAATCATTTTATGAAATCTCTCTCTCTCTCTCTCTCTCTCTCTCTCTCTCTCTCTCTCTCTCTCTCTCTTACTCTCTCACTCTCATTCTTTCCCTCAGCTATAGTATGATAAACCTCTTCCTTACTAGGCAGTTTTTTTGCATAACCCTATGTATTTTCCCATTTAATCATGAATATAGAATAATCTATTCAAAATCTGTATGCATTTGGCAAAGGATGTGTGAGTTTCCCTCAACCCCACCACTGTGCATTGGATTGCTTTTTAAATCCTTTTCACCCATCTGTAGCTAAAACTTTGTTTGATGCACATGATGGATAATTTACTTAAAAGGAAAATGTATTGTAATAGAAGACGGAAACTTATAAATTAAGTATTAAATACATGAAATACATTGGTAAGAGGTATGCATGTTTGGGGGATATATTTTTATTTTTATTGAGCAAAAAAGGAAGGATTTGGATTCTTTTGGTTGAGTAAAAAAGAAAAGGATAAGACAAGGGTTTGGGGAAGCAAGAATGTGAGATGAGTAATGTGGATGAAGAACACGTTTGGAGTTGGCATTCAAGCATAGAGCAAAGAAATCCACTGAAACAACTGCACAAACTTCCTCGCCCTGTTGCTGCAATTAGAACTCCACCTCAGGTTAATGATATTGTAATACTTAAAAATACCACGCAAGCAAAAGCAGTAAACAGTAATTAGTAATGAAGCAATATATGTTCTGGTTTGTCCCCACTCAAGGAAAAAAACTGGGAGGATTCTGAGGGGAAAGTATGTGCTAGATAATGTGAGGAATCATAAGGGAGATTCGGGTTGAAATACAACCGAGCTCGGACTAGAGAGTCTGTTGAATTCTATACATCCATGGCTCTCTTACCAGACTATTTAGTCAGCATAAGTACATTGATTGTTTTTTAAACTATATTACTTCATTTGTCCTACCTGTCAGCACTGCTGGATGGAGAGAATTTTGAACTGAGAGAGGAAGGAGCTCGTTGTCCTATGATGTTCATGGTCTGGCTGGCTTTCTAGTAATTTTACAGCCTATTGACTTGCTCTTTCTGCCTCTGACTGCCATAATACATGGTCAGTCTTTCTGATGCAAGAAAAGTGAGTCAAGAGCTCTTAATTTTAAGCATAATTCCCAGTGTCTGGAAGGTTTAAATCTAATGAAAAAATTTTCTGGAATAAGGTAGAATCTCCCGATTCGTGTACGGCCTGGCTCTGTGACACCTTAAACAAATAAAGTAGATGATATATAGAAACTCAAGAATACTGTTACCAGGGCTACTCCCATCCTTCACCAAAAGTATTTTACTTGTGGTGACTAAATTGCTTAAGATGGAAAGAGCCAATATCTGTCCTCCCCCTCCCTCAAGTCATAACTGGGAAGTCTCATTCAGTCTTCAAATGGCTCAGGATAATAAAAAAACAAACAAAAAAACCCAAACTGATAAGAAAGGCAGAGAGTAGGCAGAGAGTAGGGGACAGCAGAGAAAGATACAGGTCAAGAATTTAGGCTGGCATAAATCTTGTGTTCCTGAACCCAAAAGAAAGCAGTAATGAGAGGAGACAAGGCAGTCTGATTCACTGGTGGCATGACACAGGTATGACTATACCTCCCCATCCAGTCTTATTAACCTGTAGTCAGCAGAAATTTCTTCTATATTCTGATGATTAGTTGACCGTCGCTCTTAGGTTTTAGCATTGAGAGTTTTCATTATTTTTATTTGCCTTCATATGTAATTATGATGGAAAGTTGGGAGAAATAATTACCGAGGCAAGATATTTTTCCTAAGTAACTGAGATGAATTGTTAGTTTCATAGATTATGTGTTTCTTTCTTTTTGGATGAAACATTTAAGCATCAAATGTATATTACTTTAAAAAGTCAGCTGGCAACATAGCATACATATTTTAACTAACATCAAAAATGCTTTATTCATTAAGAAGAAACACTTTAATCAATCAAAGATTAGTAAAGAATATATTACTAATTTACATAAAGATTTCAGAATTGTACTCTTTTTTGCTATTGTAAAAAGATACATTTTCTTTCTCATGCTTCAAATTCTGAGAAATCCCAATATAAATGAAAAAATAAACATGTTTACTAGGTAAAAGCATAAGAGTACAAGAAATGCCAGACAGTGGAGACCTATATACAGGTCATAGTTATCTAGTTTGTGTCTGCCGGTGATGCCAAGTCAGACACAGAATCAGCCCTCAAAGCCTCAACCCCAAAAGGAGCTACAGAAGACACCAAACTTTCACACATTTCAGAAGAAGGACTGCCTCACATTGTGTCATATTACCAACAACAAATTGTTTTAGACCATAAATGAGCATCGACGATGAGAAAGCCACATGAAGAACATAAGACTTGCCTTTCACAGCACAAAGAAATCACTGGGGTAGGAAGGAATAGGGGGAGGCAGCATTGGAGCAGTACTGGAGCTGCCTCCTTCTGCAAAAACTGCTACAGCCACTCTTAACAGATGCAGTGGCAGCCAGGATCAAACGGTCGTGAGGCAGCCAAGGAAACTGCGCCACAACCTAGACCAGAAATTCACCTTGACAGAAAATAGACAGATTCAAAAGAGACTTGAGTTAGACGTGTCAGTGGTCATTCCAGAGTGTTCTGCTAAAGCAGAAATCAAGAACTCAGACTGCCATGTAAGAGAGCAAGTTCCAAGTTCGGGAGGAGGAGCACTCTGGCATCCACCCTTTTTAAACTAGAGCTTGAGCTGAAGCCAACGGCCTACCTGACAATAGTGTTTCTACGGGCATTGTGCCCAGAGACCTGCTTTCACCATGTGGTCAGGCCTCTGGGAGGACAAATTTGTCCACAAGACCAGAGGATTGAGAGGGAGCAATAGGGAGCTCAGCAGTCTACAATTACAGCAGCACTTCTCTCCCCACCTCGACCTGCTGAGTGTGTAGCCACAGAGGGAATTCTCTGAGGAAAGGGTGAAGAAGAGGCAGGGGGAAGTGCTTGATGCCAATCCCTAGAGTAATCCATAAGGAAATATGAGACCAATGTCCTCTAAATTCCCTTGCCAACTCCTGAGTCATTGTCAGACTCACAAGACAAATATCATTCTCCTGCTCTGTGCAAAAATAGTGCTGTTTGGAGGATTTGAACCATCATTTCAATACACCCCCAAGTCTTACCATCTCCCAAGTAAAAAGACCTCAAAGGACATCTTCCATGCAGTAGATGATGTAAAAGGAATAGGTAGGGCATCTTGCCTAGTAATAGCACAATTAATACTACCCAAAAAATAGAGTTGAGTTTCCAAAAATACATTCCAAAGATCTCTCGCCACCTATGTGAAAGTGGCTTTTGCGTTTCCCATCTCTTAGAAACGGTCTAATGACCTGACCTTTCAAGATTCCTTCATAAGGAGGTAGGTACCTTTCTAAATCATGTTGACCTTAAGGTCTCAGAGGGTGAATTTGTATGATTGAGAGTTTAGGATGGGAAAAAATTAGGGAGGGAGGGAAGGGCCTTTCAATAATAACAGATTCAGATAAAATCAGCTACAGGGTGACAGAAAGATCAGGACAGGCACAGCTTAATGAGTAGAAGAAAAGAATGTAGAGCAGTAAAGCAATATGGTCAGCTTTAGACATCAGCAGAACACAAGTGCCCACGTTACGAAGGGGAAGATCATATTGCCACTTTCCGCCAGCTCCTAAGTACTAGACAGTGTATCCCTTTCAAGGAGAGTAGATCCTGCCGTAGAAGAGAATGCTGTGGGTTTTGTTGTGTCTTATGAAAAAGAGAAAAGGGTGGTTGGCATTGAACTCAACCAAGGATGGCAATGACTTTGTCACACCAACAACCCCGCTGGCTGCAGCTGCCTGTGTGCCATTTTCATCTACCTCCACAAAAGTCTTGTGGACAATTTTTGACACATAAAAATTAGGATCTGGAGAAATTCCAGTCAGATCAGCCCTCCTTTCATCAAAGATGTCCGTAATGCCCATGGTTTGTAGAACTGAATTGAGGTTGTAGCTGTCTTCCAGGGTGAACTGGGGGAAGGAGAGAGCTATTGTTTCTTCTGACATGTTTTCTGAGCTGCTCCAGGCCATTATTTTGTCATAGGTGATGTTCCTTTCGAGCTACAAGAGGAAGGAAATAATATTTAGCATCAGATTATGAGCCTGAAAAACATGTCCCAATTACTTTAAAGTGTCTGAGTCCATTTCAACAGCCAGGGACAACCTTCCAGGTCTTTCTCTAAGCTTCAGAATGGTTTTGTTTCATTTAAAATTTCTCCAAGCAAATATGCCCTTTTTAGAATAAGTTACAAGACAATTTGGGCTCCAGCGTTCTTTGGTGTTTGACAAATGAGTGTTCAAAACCCAGCAAAGCTCAGCTGAATAGTTGGGTGCCTTGGCCAAGCTCTAACAGTCCAAAGTTAAATTTCTTCTTCTAAAAAAGAGATAGTACAATAAGGCCCTTTCAAGGATTAACAAAATAATATATATAAGGTACTCAACAGTGCTGGCACATAGAAAATTTTGAATAATGGCTGTTAAAGATATTGTAATTGCTATACCTGCTATGCCAGCATTTCTCTCTCACTTTCTCTTGCCCTCCATCCGTAGCTCTTCACCACCTTGGGCAATATGTAGCTGAGAGCTTCTCCAGCCTCCATTAATTCCTACCACACAAGTAGTCTATTCCAGTGTCAGTATCTAAATTTCTATCAAGGCACATTTACCCCAAAGCAAGATTCAGTCAAAGGGTTTCAAACAGGGTTATTAAAAAATTTGTCTGAGTAAGAGACCAAAAGTCAGGATATTTGGGGAAAAGAAAAAGCTATTGTAGCAATTCTCAAGTTACTCTGAGCCCAGTTTCTTTGATCTGGAAAAATAGTTCCAGAGATCTATGAGATTAGAGAGGAAACTCTAATTCCAACGTTTGATCTGGAAAAATAGTTGCAGAGATCTATGAGATTAGAGAGAAAACTCCAATTCCAATGTTTTTGGCATTGGCTCTTTAGGTCTAAACAAATGAAGACTAAAAATCTACTCTAACTTAGAATCTTATGTATTCTTTGATATCTCCGATAGCTCAGGTATCATCCTTCCTCAGGAAGATAGATAGTAGATAGTGTTGTTCTCTGAAGATCTATAATTAAATGTTTTTAGAGACATGGAAATGAAGATTTACCTCTTCCAGACCCTTCAGGTTATCTTCAGAGAAAGTCGGCAGCAGAACGAACATGCTGAGCCTCCCCTTGGTATATCTCATTTCAAGGATCTGCGCCTTCACCTCCTCTATGAATCCAATTCTGTAGAGACCTTGTTGAGACATCATCTTCACATTTGTCTTTTCATTCTGCAGTAGATAAGGCAGGAAGTCACAGGACTGCCATGGTAAGCTCACAAACTCACATGGCTGCAACTTCTCTGAGAAGAGTGCTTCATAAAGATGAGGAAGGTCTGCACCAGAGTCCTGAGCCACCCTAAGAAAGTCTCCCCACTGATCAGTTGACCCATACTTAGTCAACACTTTATCTTTTGGTCTTTTTAATCAGTTCTTCAACTCCAAGACCACTACTGTTGTAGACTTTCTATCTAAGCATCTTCCCCAACCAAATCAGCAGAAACAAGCCCTGTCAGTCATCCATCCTCGGCACCTGCCCCACCGCAGTCCCTTGGCCTCACACAACCCCATCCCCTCTGGCCTGGCTGAACCCACCATAGCACCATTGGGAGCCATCGTTAAACAAGAGTCATCTCCGTATTAAATAGCAACACCTGTCCATAAGCTTCTGTCAGAAAAAAGGCATCACCCCAGGCACCTTAACCCTCACGATAACCACAAGATGGCCAGCAAGGGGCCATCTATCTACAGATGAGGATGTTTAGTGTTTGAGAGAAACATTTGGCCGCAGTAACATACTAACTAGATAACAAATGATTGGTTGGGATCTGACCTTTGCCCTTTCCTCACATGCGAAGCCCAGTGGCTTAAAACATCAGTTTTGGGGAGAGGTTAAATACTCACAGAAGTGAATCCTAAAGCATGCATTTGACTAAGCAACTTAGCCTTTGCATTTTCCCCTCAAATCCTAAGCAGAAATCATCATAATGCTTACCTCATAATGTTATTTGGAGGAATGAAGGAAATAGCAATTGGAAAAATATTCAGTACACAGGCATATGGGGGAAAATATGTTCAATAAACTTCAGGTACTGGTTTTTATTCATAGTAAAATGTCCTTATTGTAAATTTAATCTGTAACTCAGAGACCTAAGTTTTAGATTTGAGTCTACATACTGCAAATCACACTTAGTGAAAATTATGAGTTGAATAGCTAGAGCCCCATATGTTCTAACACATTACCTCATTTAGAAAGAAAGGTGCATCGACTGTGTTTTCACAATCAAAATATTTTTCCCAATTGGCCTTGAAGTAAACAGCATTTGCTAGTACCAGCACAACTGTATTATCAATTGTGTCCTTGCTGAAGAGTTCTTTGATTTTACCTAAAAATAAATAAATAAAAGGTCCCAGTAAATACTGTGAGTATGAATTGCACCAAAAGTATTCATGTCGATAGGTCATTTTTTAAATGTAGCTTAACATTCCCAAGGCTAGGGGGTACCTTGTTCAAGAACTAACCCAAGAAGACTAACCAGTCATAGTCCTGAATGGGGCAGGGGGGTAGTAAGGGTGGGGTTCATGAGGCAGGGGAGGAACCCTCTCACTATACCCTGTAGAGGGTTCCAATTCAGAGCCCTGAAACTGAAGGAGTCTCCTTTGATTCTCTCTATCACTTGTGGTTGGAATTTATCATTAGATATTTTAGACTATGGTTTGTCTTTCAAATTATAATCCAGTCACCTGACTATATGATTATCTCCTTGAGTAAAGAACTATATGGTATAAATTTCCTACCAAAAGCATAGAATGTATGTTTATATATAAACAAATATACAAATAAATGAGACTGGGTACAGTGACTCATGTCTATAATCCCTGTACTTTGGGAGGCCAAGATGAGAGGATCACCAGAGATCAGGAGTTCAAGACTAACATAGGCAACATACTAAGAACCCATCTTTACAATAAATAAATAAATTAGCCTTGCACAGTGGCATGAGCCTATAGTCCCAACTACTTGGGAAGCTGAGACGGGAGGATCAGTTGAGCCCAGGAGGTTCAGGCTGTGGCACCATACTCCAGCCTGGATGAAAAAGCAAAATCCTGTCTCAGAAAAAAATGCATATAAATGTACTAGGCCACCAGGCATGGTGGCTCATGCCTGTAATCCCACACTTTGGGAGGCAGGGGCGAGAGAATTGCCTGAGCCCAGGGGTTCTAGACCAGCCTGGGCAACATGGTGAGACCTCGTCTCTATAATAAATTAAAAAAGTAGCTGGGCATGGTGACACACGCCTATAGTTCCAGTTACTTAGAAAGCTGAAGCAGAAGGATTACCTAAACCCGGCAAGTCAAGGCTGCGGTGGCCAGGAGCGTGCCACTGCACTCTAGCCTGGGCGATAGAGTGAGACTCCGACTCAAAAAATAAATAAAAGTAAAAATAAAATAAATATACTAGGCCCTGGTATCAAATCAATTTTATAGGGGCTTTTACATGCCCTCTGTCATTTCATCCCACATAAACCATGCAAAGGAAGAACTGTCATTCCTTCTTTAAAGAAGAAGAAACTGCATCCATTGAGAGGTGAGGTCACACAGCCAAGAAGCAGCAAGACTGGCCATGATGGGTCCTTGGGCTTTCCAGTTTTGAGCTCAGCTCTGGAGCTCCTTCCAGGGTAACACAGCCCTAAAGATAACTGGAAAAACCCCCTGCTGCCATGCAATACTCTATCTTCAGGATGTGTCCTTTTCTCCCTCAAAGTACCAAATCACCAGTTTGTTGAATGCCTGCCTGCTGAGGTCTTAACAAGATGATCCCTATTTAAATCCCATAGTAAAAGACTATGTTGACATCACCTACACTTAAAATGCTCTAAGGGAGTTAACTCACTAAGGAGAAATGACATCTTCAGGCCTCAGTATGAACTTCTTTTGTGAATTGCTTTCCTCTTAACAGCTGAGTGAAGGCTTTAAAGGCGTGGGAAATTTTGTGGCACGAGGAAGAAGGGAGAACACATAATTTGAGAATTTGGAGACTCCTCCCAAGGAAAGGCCAGGTAGAAGTATCCCAGTCCCAAGTCGATGTGAGAGGATAGAAGACAAAGCTAAAATACCACCAAATGGAAGAGAAGAAGGGAGAGTGTTGCACTGATTTCAAAGTAAGTCAACTATCTCTCCCAGGCTGCCAGTCACTCAGAATGTGTGCAAATGCCCTGGGTCCTTGTCTTATTCTGAAGGCAGGAGAAGCAATGCACTACCTGTGTTTTCACATACTCCAAACTTTTCACTTCAGATGAAAATCTTCCCAAGTCCCACACTGGCAATCAAAAGATGCCCTAGTGTGTGTCCAGAAGCTTGTCCTGACCCTTCAGGGCACTAACCTTCTTTTTTTCCAGAGACTGCCATCATGACCAGAGACCAAAAGAGTAATAGTAATTAATAGTAATATCTAAACATTTTGACAGTTTGATGCTGTTGAAAATATACTTTGAACACAGTCCTCATAAGTGAATCCCAACAGACTAAGGATCTGAAAAACTGGGCTAACTGGTTTTCTTTTAAAGGGAAAAGAATGCCAGTTACGATGTGTTTGGTCTTTCTTACCTTGGGATTGAGATTCAACCCAGAAGTTAATCTTTTGTCTGGACCTCTCAGTGTCTTTCCGAAAATCAACACTTTCAATCGTTGTGTGGTAGAATTGAATTACACTGTCTAGGTATTCCTGTTCGATTGGAATAAAGGGGAAATAATGTAATAAAATCATACTGTGATGCTGATTGTGAAAAGTGAAGCCATCATGAAAAGCCTCATGAGAAAGATGAGCCTGGTCATTGCACATTGCAAAGACAAGCCTGGCAGTTTCTATCCATCCCCATCTCAATTAACCAGAGACATTGTTGTTCTTGTAGCGACTATTTAGAATGCAGAATGTTTATTCGCAAAGCAGTCTGTAATTAAAATAGCATAGGTCTTTTCTGCCAAATAAACTTTATTCAAACAATCCATGTGTGACGACATTGCAAGATAAATATCAAATACCTTGAAAGACTTGGCTGTAAAATGTTTCTGTTTTGAAGAATTAAAACCCACTCAACGGTTGCAGAGATTCTATTTGAAGCAATTTAAAAGCTTCAGAAATAGATAAGGTGATAGTTATACAACATTGTGAAAGTAACCAATGCCATTGAACTGTACACTTAAAAATGGTTACGATGGCAAATTTTGGCCAGGTTCGGTGACCCACTCTGTAATCCCAGCACTTTGGGAGGCCGAGGTGAGTGGATTGCCAGAGGCCGTGGGTTTGAGATCAGCCTGGGCAACCTGGCAAGACCCTGACTCTACAATAAAATCAAAAATTAGCTGGGCATAGTAGCACTCGCCTGTAGTTCCGGCTACTTGGAAGACTGAGGCAGAAGCATCGCCAGAGCCCAGCAGGTTGACACCATGGTGGCCATGAGTGTGCCACTGCTCTCCAGCCTGGCCGACAGAGTGAGACTCCAACTCAGAAAAAAAAAGGACAAATTTTATGCTATATGTAATTTACTACAATCTTTAAAAATTAATAATATACCAAAACCAGTGGTTTGTGCACTTTTAATAGATGAATTGTATGATATGTGAATTTATATCTCAAAAAAAGCTGTTTTATTTTTTAAAATCCAGCATATAAAATATTTTCATTGTAAGAGAGCACACTTATTTTGGTCAAAATTAGGCTATCTCCTTCCCTGACTAGTCCCTCCCTAACCAGTTGTGCCACATGCCCCATGTTTATTGCTCAGTATGTGAATCCTTATAGTAGGATGTGATTCCTTATAATAGTTACAGAGGAAACTGAAGCCCAGATGGAGACTCATCTTGCTCTAGGTACAAAACTGTTCAGTCACAGAAACAAGTCCTGGACCTCTCAGCTCCAGGTGCCAAAATTCTACACCACTGCACTTCAAAAGAGCATTGTGGCTGGGCTCGGTGGCTCAGCCTGTAATCCCAGCACTTCGGAAGGCTGAGGTGAGTGGATTGTCTGAGCCCACAGGCTCAAGACCAGCCCGGGCAACTTGGCGAGACCTCATCTTTACCATAAATCAAAAATTAGCTGGATGTGGTAGTGCGTACCTGTAATTCCTGCTACTTAGAAGGCTGAGGTGAAAGGATCACCAGAACCCAGCAGGTGGACACTGGGGTGGCTGAGAATGTGTCACTGCACTCCAGTCTGGGTGACAGAGTGAGACTCCAACTTAAAACACACACACACACACACACACACACACACACACACACACACCCATACACACACATGCACACACAAATCATTGTGAGCACAATCTCCCTGGGACATGGTCTGGTTATGGAAGAAACAGTACCATGGGGTAGCCAACCAGCAGGGGAGCCACAAGGTGCATCCATCAGGCTGCTTTATCAGAAAAGACAGTAAGGAGAGAATGCCATTACCAAGTCTGCCCACTATCTGAAGGCTATTCATTTCATACCCCTTTCCACTCACTCTATTCCACTAACAATGGACCACATAAACTGCTCAAGTGGAAAACTGGGAGAAGAGGACCCAAATGCAGGACTGAAAGAGGTGAGTCCTGGACACCTACCAGTCCATAGCACATCATCCTTTCAAAGAGATTTGTGTTCTAGATAGCAGGTGAGTGACCCAGATACTCACTTATGTGTTGACTTTAATCACCAGTTGTGCACAACTCACCGGACAGATTTGGAATTCCTGCTCTCCATAAAGCCTGTTGGCCACACTCAGGGTATAATCACTTTTGATCCTGTCTAATTTGCAGAGAAGCTGTCCAAAGTAACAGCTGAGTAGTTCACTCTCATCATTTGAGGACTCAGCCTAACAAAAGAAGAAACAAAATGTGCCCTTAAAGGTGTCCATCAGAAGAACTAAACACCACTGAAGGCTGGGGACAAATTTTGTATCCAAGCAAGATAGAGCTGCTAAGTAAGGTATCATTTCCCTCTGTTGCCTAGTAAGGGAATGAGCTGGTAAAAACAGAGGAACAGAGGGTGAGAAGTGGTCCCAGAAGGAGATCATGGCTCCCACATCCAAGTCAAGATCATCCAGGAAAAAAGTACCAGAGGATTCAGCAATGCACACTATATTTTAAATCAGTCATCCTAGTTTTCTCTATATTCAAAATTATATGAGAGATCAACATCTTTCCATCTTCCTCTTAAACTTTCTAAGTTAGGGAGCTATACCCTGGGGAATATCTTTCCTATACCTGGTAGAAGACAGTCAATAAAAGTTTTGTGTGTCAGTACAGATTTCAGCAAGAAATAGAACAGGCATAAGTGGAGAGAGAGAGTAAGAATTCCACAGCTGAACCTATCCCTTACTACCTTTCATCTTCAACCATGCTCCGAACTGGGAACCTCCGTCCTGTAGCAGTAGGTGAGTCACAGGGTGTTCATCTAATTTGCTTTATTGTGAGCAGAAGACACCAGACCCTACTCTTTAGAAAACTAGCTCAAGTCGGGCTCGGTGGCTCAGCCTGTAATCCCGCGACTTTGGGAGGCTGAGGCGAGTGGATTGCCTGAGCCCGCGGGTTCGAGACCCGCCTGGGCAGCGAGACCTCATCTCCACAATAAATCAAAAAAAAAAATCAGCCAGGCATGGTAGTGCATGCCTGTAATTCCAGCCACTCAGAAAGCTGAGAGGGAAGGATTGCCGGATCCCAGCAGGTCAAGGCTGCGGTGGCCAGGAGCCACCAGTCTGGGCGACAGAGTGAGACTCCAACTCAAAAAAAAAAATAGAAAACTAGCTCAAAGTCTAGAACATCTAAAATTGCAGATCATATGTGGTTATTGCTGTTGATGGCAACCAAGACCTAACATCTAAGGATAAGCTACCATCACCAAATATACTACAGCCAGAATGAGTGGTATATAAAGAAGAGGGACAGGGGTTTATGGGGATGACTCACCTGCTGATCCAGAGACTCTTTTGTTTTTTGATGCCCTTCCAGAGAGCTGTCAGATTGCACTTTTTGCTTGCTGCTTTTCAGACAAAGGTCAGTTTCTTTACTTTCATTCTGGGACAATTCATTGAAGTGTAGTACCTGTGTGATAATGGGCCAGGGATTTTCAGACAATGTGAACAGTGGGAAGTTTATAGTGGCAGTTCTGAATAACATATTTTATAATGTGACAATGACAATGATTACACAGTCAAACAAAACAACCAGCAAAGGAAAGTGGATGTTTCTTTCCTTGGGCCATGAGGTGCAGTGTAGGGGAAATAACTGAATGCTACCTCTCTGGGAATGCATTTGCAAATAAATATAACCTAACTAAAAGAATATAGAGATTTTATCGGTTCACTTTAATTTACCCTCTAATCACTAGCCAAGGACAGAACCAGTTTCTCAGAGGTATCTATTGATAATTGTCTTACAACACCCCCGGTTGTGTTGTAAACAAAGTGACCTAATCAGCCCTTGTGACCTTCATGACACAGACTCCATGGCAACAATCTTGTGACTAACCCCTGCATCTGCCTGCTGTCCAACACCTGATGTCAGTACCTGTACATACCTGTTCTTTTCGTGATGAAGTAGAACAAAGCACCACCCAGTCACCTTTATGACCTGCCCCCCATCAAGGGGAAAAGTTTAAAGTTTTCAACTTTAAGCAGTCATTTGCCATTGCTTTGTTAAACCCTGCTGTGTCCATATGGCTCTTTGAGCTATGGTTGCCATGTTTCCTAGCTTTGGTCCCCTCCTCTACCTTGGGGAGGTGAATGTCCTTTCTTTCTCTCTCTCTCTCTAATTTAATAACATTAATAAATAATATTTTCCAAGTGAAAAAAAAGAATATAGAGGTATTCACAAACTACATGTAGCTATTGACCACTTCATAGATGGCCAGTCTGAATTGACAGGAAGTGCAAAATACACACCGATTCTTGAAGACAGTACAAAATACAAAGACTGTAAAATATCTCATTAAAATGTTTATATTGATTACATGTGGATATGACAGTATTTGGGGGACATCAGTTTAAATAAAAGCTATTATTAACATTAGTCTCATCTGTTTCTTTTTACCTTTTGAATGTGGTTACTAAAATTTTTTTAATTACTAAGTGGTTCCCATTAATTTGTGTTAGACAGCACTGATCTAAAGTCCACATCAATCAAGGGACCAAGATTAGCAAAGATAAGTTGTCCAGAGTCATGCAGAAACATAGAAGACAAGTGGCACATCCTGCACATCTCAGACACAGTTTGTTGGCAGGTGATTCCCAAGTGGCTGAGGAAAGAACATCTGAAATCTGCCCTGGAGGATGCAAAGCACACCCTAAAACTACGTTTGCATAATAAGAAACTTATTATGAATAGGAAAACAATAATACACAAAATCTAAGTAGATGAATAAAGCAGAACAATCCCAAACACGTTCCACCATAATCTACAAAGTTGTGTTCCCCATACTCAGGGGCAACAACCTTATTTATCTACAACCCTTGTGGTATGTGCTAGATCCAAGTTAGTATAAGACAGTCCCAGGAGCTTACACTTTATTTGGGGAGGTGTTCTTGTCACCTTCATTCTTTCAAATATTTGTTGGGAGCCTACTCTAAGCCAAGCACTATTCTAGAACAAAGATCTCTGTGTTCTATGAGTCAGAGAAGGCATACAATACACGGTACATATAGTAATTAATTACTGCATGCAGTATGTTAGAAGGTGGAAAATGACATGTGGAGAAAAGTAGCAAGGCGCCATTGTGGTATTAGGGGCCAAGATGCAGCAGTAGATTGGGAGGTCAGTGTGGGCCTTCCAGAGGAAGTAAACCCTGATCAAAGTCTGAAGGAGAAAGTTAGCTAAGATCAGTTATGGGGAAAGAGCCATCAGGCAAAGGGAGCCAGAGCAAAGTCCACAAGACAGGAGTGGGCATGGTTTACCCAAGGAAGCCAGGAGGCCAGTGTGACAAGCACTGATGAGGAGGGGGTAGGGGTAAAGATGGAGTTATAGTGTTTATCTGGGATTCAGGGGCTTGTAAGCACCCGGGTTTCTATCAGGGTGAAACAAGAACCGTGGGGTTTTGAGCAGATGAGACGCAGGATCTGTCTTAGACCTTAAAAGGATGTCTTGTGATGCTGTGTTAAGAACAGATTGTCAGTGGGAGCAGAAAAACTTATTAGACGGTTGCCTCTGCATTCAGGTTAGAAAAGACAGCAGTTCAGACCTCAGGGAGACTGTGAGACGTGCCTGGATTCTAGATATATTTCAAGAGAAAAGTCAACAGGATTTTTTGACAAAAGTGGTGTAAAGTGAGAACGAAAGAGAAAAGACAAAGAAGACACCAAGATCTCTAGCTACTGGGTGCCTAGTACTTAATAAATATTTATTTAATGAAATGAGTGAGACAGATAACACATATAACATACTAAAAATTACTGACAATATTGGTCTCAGTAATTATACAGGAAAAGAGAGACTGACATATGGACAGAGATAGAGTCAGAGAAGGTGAATGAGAAAAACTATCAGATGGGTGAGATTGGGGAAGCACTATAAAGGAGGTGAAAATTAATTGAAACTTGAAGAATGGTAAGATACAAGGGAAAACAAGGCGGGGGGATACAAATGAGGGGTCAGAGGCAATATAGTGTTCGAGCAAGCCCAGGGTGCAGTGAACATCTTGGCTTGCCTGAGCGGGATTAGATCGGACTTTGAGTACGAACCTGGAATTCAGGACCCTGTGGAGACATACCTCATCGATCTGATGTGCACTGTCATTTCTAGCTCCCAGACGGACCATACCAAGGGCAGCCGAGATGCTCAGAGGGCAGAAAAAGATGTTTTTATGATAATCATTTTTGCTTATCTCTTGGAAAAGATCAAAGCAAAATTTGGTGTTTGCTGCAACAAGAGAGTCCATTGTAAAATTCGTAGCAGTCTAAAAAAAAAGGAGAGGGAGAAAATGGTGATTGGAGAAAAATACGTAAATAAACAATTCTTATTTTTACATACCCAATTACTCAATATCTTATTACAAACTGGAAAACTAAAGTCATTATCGCCTCTGTATATAAATACTGGTGTCAATATTGACATTGATATAAATAGAGATCTACTTTCATTTAGTTGTGGGAATTCATTTCCTAGGGTTGTTACAACAAATTATCACAAACTGGGTGGTTTAAACAACAGGAATTTATTATCCCACAGTTCTGGAGATCAGATATCCAAATCAAAATGTTAATAGAATTGGTTCATTCTGAAACTCTTGGGAAAAATCTATTTCATGCTTCTATCCTAGCTTCTGGTGGCTGCCAACAACCCTTGACATTTCTTGGCTTGTAGATGAATCACTCCAATCTCTGCCTCTATCTTCACAATCTTCTCTTTATCATCCATGTGTGTATCCAAATTTCCCTCTTATTGAAAGACACCAGTCATTGAATTAGGGCCCATCCTAACCCAGCATGACCTCATCTTAATTATATCTGCCAAGACCCTATTTCCAAATAAGGTCAAATTCATGGGTATAGAGGTTAGGACTCGAACATATCTTTGGGTAACACAATTCTACCCATTTTGTGGTAGAACGTTCTTTAAAATGACATCAAAGGCTACTATTCCTCAAGTTGACAGCCAAGCAAACATCAATTCATTCTTCTCCACAGGCTGTGTCTGGTTCTGCTTACATCTTTTGCCTATACTCTTTTTCTCAATGTTCTTGATTGAGGATATGCCCAGCAAACTGTCAGGGGTCATGTCCCTCGTTAACATTCTCACCCCATTTTGACTCATCCCACATGAAACCTACAGAACTTAAGGCACTTTCATCATGAACATTGTTCAGGAGGTAATAAAGCTTAAAAGATTGGGAGGAAGAGGCAAGAGCATTGCCTGAGCTCAGGGGTTCAAGACCAGAAACATGGCGAGACCTCATGTCTACAATAAATAAATTTTTAAAACTTAGCCAGGCATGGTGGCACATTGCCTGTGGTTCCAGCTACTTGGAAGGCTGAGGTGGAAGGATCGCCTGAACAGGTCGACGCTGGGGCAGTCGTGAGTGTACCACCGCGCTCCAGCCCAGGCCACAGAGCGAGATTCTTACTCAAAAAAAGAAAATCTTGAAAGATGCTGAGGGTCTGGAAGTCACTGAGTTCATCGTCCTCTTTAACAGTATAGAACCACAGGTAACATAGTACCAAAGTAAGACTGACTTCCCTAAGAACTGATTCCTTGCCTCCCCCACCCAATCTGTTCCACAATTTCAAGAGAATCTTATGTAGATGTCACCATGGATCTATGCGTCTCAGATAAAATGTATTTTCTTTTATTTCTTTGTTTATGGATATTGTAGATTTCCAAGATGAAAATGTGAGATATTTTTGTTTTTATCATCAGAAATGTGACATACAGTAAGCATTAAGAAATACTTACTGCATTAAATTGAATGATATATTTGGTTTTCACATTTTCCCTAGGCTCTCTTTTAGCCTTTTTTAGGTTGTGAAAAAACTAATTCAAAAAGAGAACATTATGTAACTTTTTTTAAAATGTGCCTAAGTGCTAAATACTTGACAGATATTAAGTTTAATCCTACCACTCTGCAAGGTAGATATCATCGCTCTCCTTTTTCAGATTAAAAAACTGAAGAATCAAATCACACATGTACTTGACTCCAAACTAAGTACTCTTTGTCATCTATCTACTGTTTCTACTAAGTTGTTTCTCTACTTAGGATAAGCTGATCAAGCACATGCCCACTGTGCTTTGGTACTTTCTCCCCTTGTTCGGTTTATAGTCCATTTTTATCCTGACAATTCTTTTCGGCCAAGATTGTACCTGACTTGTATTTTTCATCTTGTGCCTATGATGCTGGGTTTGAGACATAGTTTTTATTTTAAAACTAATTTGTGAGTAATCATAAGGCCATTAGAGTATTTTTCAGAAGCAGTATGTCCTAACAGGTGGGTGTTTTCCAAGGAATGAATGTCCTGGGTATCTCTGAAAATTCAATAATGCATCACATCTCCAAAACTCACACTTGAAAATGTTGAAAGTATGTTGAAAACTGTCTTCATGTCCATATTTTCTCTACAGTGGCTCACATTACCCATTTAATAACAAGTCTACTAAGAAAGTAAAGAAAATCAATAAATTTAAAGATGGCCTGAGCTGAGGGGATTTCATAGGCTTTTGTCTAACCGTAAAATGTTGTATGAAATGCAGTATAATAATTCTAATTATTTTTTTAAGTTAGAGCCTTACTCTGTCACCCAGGCTGGAGTGCAGTGGCACAATCACAGTTCACCGCAGTCTCTGTCTCCTGGGTTCAGGCAATCCTTCTGCCTCACTCTCCCAAGTAGCTGGGATTACAGGCTCACATCACCACGTCAGGCTAATTTTTTAATTTTTTGTAGAGACAAGGTCTCACTATGTTGCCCAAGATAGTCTCAAATTCCTGGGCTCGATCCTCCAGCCTAGGCCTCCCAAAGTGCTGGAATTACAAAGATGAGCCACCACAGCTGGCCAGTCTAACATTTTTTAAAGCTTTCATTGTGCAACTTAGATTGATATCTGATCAAAACCTTCAGCATCAAAGGAAGAGAAAGTAAGGGACATTCTGGCTATTTGGTCACTACTATTCATCAAAGAAGACTAGAGTCAGAGGGTAGTAAGGGAAAAGAAGGGATTTGGATGGAAAGATAGAAATTACTCAGCCTGACTCTCTACTTGTTCCAGCTGATTGCTTGACATTACCTATGATCCCTTCTGAAGATGTATCCCTAGCATCAGAGTGGGAGGTATTTCCTTCTGGCATGAGCACACCCAGAACTGAACGATGAGAATCTTATTTGCTTTAGAAAGGACATGACAGCTCATGTAGGCCAACTCCCTTCTTTTCAAGATTAAAAAAAAAATTGCTGAGGCCAGATGAGATGAAATGACTTGCAACCATCATTCAGCTGGCCAGGAGCAAAACACAGCTAAGACCTCCCCATACCCAGGCCTGCCTTCTACTGGATCATATAGTATTTTGCACTTGTTTCCAATTCTGGCACTATCTTTACTCATTCTGTGTGCTGCAGAACATTCCCAAACTCTCTCTGCGCATTTCTGAATAAAACTCTTCTAAATTTTGTGAACTGCTTTCCAGAAGTTTCCTGAGATGGCTTCAATTGCTGTGAGCTCTCACACCAGAAACGACTCCCCTTTCTGAGTGTTGCCTGGTTGTACACCACGGACAGCTTCTAAGTTTTCATTACAGTTCTATGTAGCTTTAATGCTGCCTTGCTTCCAAGGGAGAATACTAGTCATAGAAAATAACCTGAAAGAAAGAACCATTCAGAGAGTTACTATTAAAATTGTATGACTACAAGCAAGCACTTATAATAGAAAGATTCTTTCTGGCTTTGTATGAAAATCTAAAATATAGGAAAAAACTTACATTAATAACAAAATGTCCCCCCCCTCCCCGGCAGCATCCCACTACTGCCAACTCCTTTCTTACAATTTTATGATAAATTTTCTAGGTCTGCTTATAAGTGAGAGTTTCTATGATAGATCACTGAGTATGACAGACTCTAAGTCTAATACCAATAAATAAATAAGTAGCAAAATGTCCGCTGATTACCATCTTCAGATGGTTTATTTAGTGTTTTTGGTAGAAAGGGTTGGTTTTTGAATTAGAAACTGCCTAAACCTGACAGTAACCTAATTGTGAAGTTCTCCCACTGGGTTAATCACTGTTTATAAAAGGATAAACTGAATCAGACATAATCTCTCCCTTTGAGAAATCAGTGACCTAACAGAGTGGACAATGCATTAGCAGTTACAAAGCTAGGCATTAATTTACAGAATGAAATGAAAAAAGCAAAGGAGCATTATGTAGGAAGAATATTTAGAATAGTATTAATGAAGATTTGGTGATTCTAAAAATACAGATTCAAATCAGCAATGTAAAAATATAGCACTTTTTAAAACACTTTTCAGCTTTTAACATTTTTATTTGTTAAAGATAACCTGAGACGGTCAGCAAAAGTCATGTTATAATATGTTGTAGCAATAAAAAATAATAAGATAAAAAGAAATTTAAGTTTAGTTTTCCTGTTCTTATTAAAACTCTCTTCATATCAGTACTAATTTGAAAACAGTAATGACTAAACCACAAATTCAAGATCCATTGGATTTGCAAATAGGACAAGCTTAGCAGTAAACAGAAAAGGTAGAGGGCTAATAATCATAATATTAAAATGTAGCTGTAAGCCAATATTTCTCAGAGATATTTTGTATGTAGCAAAATACTTTTCAAATTTTAAGAAATTATGAGTACAAACAAGTTCATGTCAACACTTCCATAATAACTCAAACTGAGAAACAACACAGATATTCATTATCAGTAGAATAAACAAATAACATGGATTTCATATCATGTCACAATGTAATGTTGAGTGAAAGTAACCATACATGAAAACTTTCATATTGCGCAATTCTATTTACATAAAACTCCAAGACTGACAAAACTAATCAGTGGCTACCCTAGGGAACAGGCAGGGGGAACCACGGGTAGCAACAGGTAGGAACAGTGGCGGACTAGTAAAGTGACGTCCCTCCCACACACAAAAAATCAGAACAAAAAAGTTCATGATTTGCAGTGTCTGCTGATTTCCATAGTGTAAATACTTCCACTAAGGTCAATTTCAAACTACCAACAAGACACCACTGTACCCAGAGTTGGGAAAAGATGAACAGAATCTCATGACCTGGTGGGACCTGGCTCTAGGACACCACAGGGCCCAGGCAGGAAGGAGGCTTCTAAGAAGCTGGTAATGTTTCCTTTCTTGACCTGGATGTTGGTTACACATTAAACTTATAACTTATTTCTTAGGCATTTACACGTGTGTGGGTGTTTACACACAACTT